GTGTATTATCTCACCAGTTTTTAATTTGACAGGATCCATGAATTTTATGTCGAATTCAAAAAGTAATGAGTTTTTATAATTATCCCTATAGTATACTGCTTGTTTTTGGGGGGGGGGGGTTTTGCATTGTGCAACGTGGCTGTAAAATGTTTTCTTAAGTATTTCCCCAAATTTCCACACAGTAATTCAAATATGAAGACACCACTGAAAAGTATAACTTTAAGGATTCCTGGTTTATCAAATGCCTTGTTTTTGCCAAAACTGCAAAACGTTTTTGATATTTTTGCTTTTACATCAAGTGAGGCTTCCAGGAGACATTATGATCTAACACAATACAAAGAAATTTGTTCTCATGTATTTGCTCAATGCAGATGTTATTCACCGCTTCCTGTACTGGATCCATTACTTTTTGTTTCCCAAGCCATGTATTCTTATGTGTTAATATAGTATTGCAGATTCATTTGTTATCCCATTAACTAAAACATGAGGGGAAAAAATTAAGAAAAAAAAAGTTAATCAGAGCTTCTTTTAATCTATAAAGAAACCAAGTAAATTGAAAAGCCAACATATTTCAGTCATAAATTAACTGTATCATTAAGACCAGGGCAGTTTCAGAGGGCAGGTGTGAGTTACCTGGACTGTGATCCCCTCTGACTTGTACTCAGCTTGTAAGCACTGGGAGAAATTTATCACAAAAATCTGCAACAAAGCATACGTAACATAGAGGGCCAGTGAGTGAGCAGGTTATGATGGGTTTGAATGAACGTGTGAAAATAAACACCAGGGAAACACCTTGGTGGCCGAATAAAGAGCCACCAGCGGATGTGGACGGAGACCCATTTCAGAGGAGATGTTGATGATTAATCCTTTGCCTCTGGGAGTGAGACAAAACCCAAATGTTTATAGATCTGGTCAGTCTAATGTTGCATGTTATTGATGTGTCTGTAGATACCTGAGCACCATGCGAGGAAGAATCAGTCTGGTCATCTGTATTGTGACAACATAATATTTTTTACAGATAGAAAGTTGCATGATACCCATTAGATGGTATGTTAGCCCAGACGTCTTACCTGGGGTACAGAGAGTATGTTACAATTGATGATGTCTGTGATTTTCTGTCCAAAATAATTAGAAATAAAGTTAGAAAACACACAATAGCCTCGGTTACTTTAAATCATCCGGTGTTTGGCCATGAAAAAGTAATAGATCACCTTTCCGGGATCTGGTGTTTCCAGAAAATAGGCGAAACGATCATTGCAGATCATTCCAACGTTGTTAACTGTGCGGTTCAAGATACAAGAACTTTCATTAATAAACACTACTGGTGTCTCATTTTAGTCAATAAAAGACAGCAAATATAAGATAAATAATGAAACACAACGGTTGTTTTTAACTGTTGGAGGAGATTTTGTATATGGAGAAAAACTTAAAAAGAGCAAAACACATAAATGTTTTTAATGTTAAACACGAGCTGCTTATGAATAAGAACTTTTAATTGTGTTTTTTCTATATTACCCAGAATTCCAATCTGCAGGTCATGGAGCTCATGAGCTATGGTTTGGTAGATGCTGCTACCCTCTGTGAAGTCCACTTTGATGGTGTGAGTCTTTCGTCCGTACTTGTTTTCTGAGGCAGACAGTACATGTGTGTTAACCGTTTCAGCTTTAAGAGAAATTTAATGAGTTTATTCGCTGTGAAGACAACATTTGAGGACATCTCCATCATCTCTGCCTGACTCACCGATTTTTTTGGCAACCTTTTGAAGCCTCTCATCAGACCTTCCTATTAAAACAACATCCAGACCCCGACGTGCCAACTGCAGGAAGACATGCAGACAGATGGTGAAGATGCTGTAGCTCAGACATAAATCTGTCCTGATAAATATGCAGATTCTGCCTTAAATTACTTTACACAAAGATACAACCAAAACATCAAATCTGAAATCTGATTTTTCTGAAATGAAGATGCAAACTCACCTCAGTGGCATAAGCTTTACCAATGCCAGACGTGGCACCAGTTACAACTGCATGAAGAAATTAGTAGAGAAAAGTCAACTTTGTAGAGCACAGAAACAACATAAGATGGGTGTCTCAAACACCAAAAATGCTATTATTGACATTAGTCCTGTGTAAGTAATTACACATTCTATGATGAGAATGGCATTTTAAGTATCACTCAGTGTGGAAGTACTTTAAGAGTTTATCTGTTATGGAGATTTAAATTATTACATGTTGATGATAAGAGAGGCAGGGAAATCAAAAGATCTTGTGCATGCTCCTTTTCAAACAAACGGTATAAATCGCAAGTAAGGTTGGCATGATAATTTTATTGTACATCTATATTTTTTTCTGTTTTTAGGTTTTATCGTCTGATCGAAACGGACGAAAATAAATATTTCAAAAATGTTTGAAATATTATTATTTTTTGTGCATAATGGATTTCCTCATACTTTACCTGCCCATTGTCCGTACGCCCGCAGGTTCGCCTGACAAAGCGACGATAAGACGTACTGCCTGAATCCACAGCAACATTTCCAGGTGAATTTCAGCAGGTTAAGAGACAAAGTTAAACCTCCTAAGGCTGCCAGAACATTGATCACCAACGCCTTGTGGGGGAAGTCCAGAGCAAGAAGCATTTTCAGAAGAATGTGGAAGTTTAGACGAGGTTTTCTTCCTTTTTAACAGAAGAAATGGAGATACTTAGTTTGTGCTCCTCCCCACATTTCTTCTCCTCCCTCCCCCCCTCTAAGTCATTTTCCAGGAGATTGCTGCAGAGGGTTGATTGTTAATATGCTGAATCTCAGAACCACAAAAAATGGTTCTGAGAAGCAAACCTGGCCCAGGCACATCCTCTGACTTTAACCAACCAAATTGAGATTCTAAATTACACAGCAGTTTCTACCTGCTGAATCATATCTGATAGTGTTAATAAGTAGAATGAGCTAATGATATATTTAAAATAGCATGGTTTGTCGTTTTAAATAACCTGTCCTCACTGCACTGGCACTGGCTGCATCAGGAGAGGCCCAAGCAAAACCAGGAATCAAGACAATTACAGAGATGTTAACTGTTTCTAAAAACTGTTGCTGTTAAGTTACACCCTGTGAAAATGACAAAAGAATCCAGGGAGCGATTCTAGGTTGCTTCTCTCTCATCAGTTGTATGTGATAAATAAAACACAACAATACATGTTCTCGATACCACACAGTGGAGAATAAAACTAACAAATAAATAATAATAAACTGCCAAATATCAGTGTTTTGATATATTTCTGACCAGTAAAATAACAGGTTCCCAAGCTTTGCCGTTAGTCCAACGGCCATCACCCAACCGACGCACACAACTGACGCACAGACATATTATGTCTAAATTCTCATGAAAAAGGAGAGAAACTTTTCTAAAGTTCACAAACATAAAAATGATCACCTTCAAAAGCCAATTAATAAACGAAAATGAGAAAATATAGTTAAATATCTACGTCACAACATTAAAAAAAAGCACAACAAACGGTTTTTTCAGCTTCTGCCGTTAGTCCAATGGCAATGACCCAACACACCGCAAACGCAATAAAAGAGCTGCATCAGACTACTCATAAAACTAAAAACTGCTTTTAAAGTTTACAAAAATGATAAATTATTATCTATAAAATGTATTTTACAATATAAAGGATAGTAATATACAACTTTTCGATCTCCATTACCTGTGAAAAAGAATCACCGTAGTGATTTCATGTTGCTTCTCTAGCGCAAAAGCCCCCTAGTGGTGGATGTGGTACTACAGGTCAGTCCCGTAAAGGCTAACGGATTCCTGCTGTATGGATTTCAAGTCCCTCAAATAAAAATAATACAAATATTAGAGCAACATAAGTTGCATTTAAATTATTTATAGACGTATATGAAACATTAATTAATATTTATTCTAAACATTTTTAATGCTTTGAAATTACAGAATATCCCAGAACTGCACTGGAGGAAAAGTAATTTTCCTACATGGAGGAAAGTAATTTTCCTCCATGGCATTCCTGAATGCCATGGAAATTCAGGAACCTGAATTTCCATGGCATAATTTGCCAATCAACTGGTTGAAGTCCTGCAGGATAAACTGCTATTGTTTACTGGAATGCATGTAACACTGACCTGGTTT